GGAGTGAAAAGAATCACTTAAAAACTGTCAATAAGCACAAATGAATACAGTCATAAACAGGAAAGACAAGACAAAGCGAGGTAGAACTATACAAACAGTAAGGACAAATGAGTTGGAAACAGCCAGATGATAATAAGAAGCTAAGCTTGGACGTAGGAATAGCGCAGCTTTAGGAAGGTCTAAAAGAAATGGGGAAATGATGAGTCTTTAATATTGATTTGAATTTTGCCAATGGTGGGACGGGATTTAATGAATGGGAGGCTGCTCGGTGGATCTAATTTGTTCTGTGAATGAGTCTGAAGTCAGCTGGAGCTCTGCATTTCCACAGCTTTGCCGCGTTGAGCTGTATGTACCACAGGCTGATGTGGGCTGATATGGAATAACATCTGTTAAGCAGATTAAAAGCTTCTAGTGCTTTGATGATCAATGTGTAATAGGTTCACACTTCCCATTGAACTGTTATAGTTTTAACTTATCACACAAGCTGGTCAGAGGATTTATCCCAGCAAGAGTGTTTGTGGGTATAAGCTCCTGGTTAGGATTCATATGATATGTACTATTCGGAGTGAATAAGAATAATAAAATCCCTGCACTTTTTATCTGTTTTTTTCTTCTGTGACTGTTTTTAATCGTCAATGTGCGACTGCTCAAACTGCATTCATATAATACAGATTTGCAGTGCAGTATTAGAAAAGGAGATGATGTGATTATCACCTCATTTTAAAGCCTCTTTCTTATCAGAAATGATGTGCAAATGTTGTGTTTTAATAATTGAACATGTAGCAGTGACTGAAGTCGTCCTCGTACTGTGTAATCAAATTATCCACCGAGGCGCCGTCTTGTAATTGGGTGCAGATGTTTGCCGTGAGTTTTAGTTCAAAAGGGCTACCACCGTCTTCTATTTATCTTTGTGATTCATGGAGCTTTGAAGCAGCACGAAACATGCAGAAACAAACTCATTACAAAGAAGTACTGCAGGCGGATTGGTTTGATTGAGTAGGCTGACCGGTGTAACTTAAGGACAATCTTTTATGTGTGTGGACTTCCTGCAGCTTGTTAACAACGTGCAGAGATTTGCTCGTCTTATGGCATTAGGAAGATGAATTGCTTTCTTACTGCTTTGCAATGTGCTAAAAATAGCAATAAGTGTGTGTCTGTGTTTTGTAAGGGTGCTTTTTCTCTCCCCTGTGTGTCGTGAAAATTAAAGCAATGGTCAAAGCTTGCTTAGCTGTGAACATTTAATACATGATTATTAACACGCCACAAAGCAGTTGTAAGCAACTTCAAGTGTTTAAGTAAACTGCTGCCTCCTGAACGTGTCACTGGTGTATTTTGCCCAATCAGTATAATTATCTACAATGTGCATAGAGTTCATTTTATGGTGTAATACAGCTCTTTGAACTGTAAATGCATGTAATTCTTGTTGGTCTGAAATGACAGCAAAATAGCTTCGCTCTATGATTTACATACTGAGATGGTAGACCTGTATGTTATTTGTAAAATTCCCTGGATGGGAGTCTTGTTAGTAGTTTCAGCAAGTGAAATTGCTTGTGGCATTTATTAGCATTTCGCACCTAGTTTGTTTGTATCTTGACGTTTGTAGAGGTGAGGATTGCACATTGGAAAAGCAATGACAATCTGTTTTCCTCTGTTCCGAGCTTCTATGCAGTTACAAAAGAAAAAGTTAATAAAAAGTGATTAGCCATCCAGAGCATTTATAAACATCTGCATCGTCATCAAAAACAAGTGAAACTATTTTTTTCTGTTGTAAATGAATTCAACCTTAAGCTGCAAATATTTCTCCTCATGACTGAAAAATGATCACGTCTTTCATTGATGTTTGAGACGAGCCTCAATTAATCCAAAGGGTTTACAGCTAATTAGACTGAGTTGCAATATTAAATAACTTGCTTTTTTAAGGGCAGTTTTTAATATGTGATGACGTGAAGCAGTCTGTGCATGATGATGAAACTGTTAGTTTCAGCCGCAGCTGTAATGAGCAGCACTCGGTTCTACAGTTTGTCATAAGTAACGTGACAACATGATGTGACAATCACTCCAGAGACCCTTCAGTGCTGCTGCCTTTTGAAGTTTGCACTGATGAGGAGAACGATCTACTGTGCACATGGAAAAATGTGTCTCTCGCCTCTAAATAGAACCAATTTTAGATGGATAGATAGATAGACAGACAGACAGACAGACAGACAGACAGATAGATAGATGACAGCAGGAGACTGTATTATTGAATGGGTGGGTGGCCGTGTCCAGGATGGAGGACAGTTTGGCTGTCGTTCTTCTCTTCCCTCTTCTGAGTGATGTCAAAATGGAGCATGAGCTAGACAGGAGGCTTGGTGTGGCCACAGCAGTTATACAGGCATTGTACCAGGCAGTCAAGGTGAAGAAAGAGCTGAGCCGGAAGGCAAAGCTCTCAATTTAGCAGTTGAACCACATTCAAGCCTTCACTTATGGTCATGATCTATCGATAGGGACCAAAAGTATAAGATCACGGACACAAGCAGCCAAAATGAGTCAGCCTCACAGACAGGGTGAGGAGCTCTGACGTCCGGAGGGAGCTCAGAGTAACATCATATCAAAAGAAGCCAGTTGAGGTCGATTCAGATGCCTCCTGGGTGACTTCCTTTGGAGGTTTTCCGAGCACATCCAGCTGGGAGGAGACCTCGGGATAGGCCCAGAACTCTCTGATGGGACTATATATCTCATAAGGTTTGGGAACGCCTCGGATCCTGGGAGAAACTGGAAAACATTGCTGGTTGGACGTCTGGAATGACATGCGTAGCCTGCTGCCTTTGCGGCCCTGGATAAGAACATGGACGGATGGTTTGATCTCTGTTAGAACAACCTGTTTCTCTTTGCTTAAGTACGTTATCAGCAAATTTTGCTTCAAAGAAGAATGAAATGACATGTCAACTTTCCATCTTTATGGCAGTCCTTACACAGCATGTTCAAGAAAGCTTGAAAAATGACAACCACTGCTGTGATACCCATCATCTCTGATTGGGGTTCAAGGTTTTGTCGAGTCAGGTTATACAAATATCACCCAGCTTATCACCCCTATCTTGGCAAAATGTTGTTCTGCATTTAAATATGGCTGTTGACAAGCTTGCCTGCTGCATATGTATTACTTGGTACTGTATGTAACCGTGCTTTAGGACTCTCTTGTGCATTAGTGTTTATTCAACATGGAGGAGAGTTTTACTATTTAGCTGATAAATACAATCTTCTGATCATGTATTTCTGTTGGTAGAAATGCTTTCATCCTGTTCCAGCCCAGATTGTACTGACATCCATTGTGATTTGACTTGTTGCTGCGGTCACCAAAATAGCAAAATCGTGGTTGTCCACACCCACCCATCTACCCACATGGGTTTCTTCTTTGTGCCTCTATAATGTATAATGTGTGTGTCTGGGCATGTAGGCCGAGACAAAGGACGGAGGACTGCAAAGGGAAGTGAAGGATGCTGGTACTCGCTGCTATGGACTGAACATGATGAATTGTTTGTCCCTGTTGGGACTGACACTTAGAATTATTCCTCGTGTGTTTGTATTGATTCTGTCTCTGCAGAACTCTGTGGCAGGTTTGCGTGCGTGGGTGATTTCATGTTTACAAGAGTGTGTTTGTGTGTAGTTTAAATGAATCCACTAATCTCTCTTCTCCTGTCATCAGAAACTAAAGCCGAGCTGGAGGATCTCATGGCGGACATCAAGAAACTGGCCAACAAAGTACGCTCTAAGTTAAAGAGTGAGTATAATTTCTTTTCTTTTTTTTTTTTGTCCTTCTTGAGTTGAAACTGATCATTATTGTTTGTGTTGGTTAAACTTTTTGTTTGCTTTTACTTAAATAATAGAACGACAAAATACTGGCAAATACCAGCAGCATCTGCAGTTCTTTCATATTCTCACTCTCATTTAACTGGCAGTTAGTTGATGTTTTTCATAATTTCCTGGAAAGATTTTGTCAGCTTCAATATGATGGATTTTCTGACAGTTCTGAGCTGAAATGATCAGTTAGTTCATTGATCATCAGAAAATGTATCAGCAACTTTCTTCCTAATTGATTAATCAAATATACACAATTTATCAAGTGAAATTGCAAATGCTTTTTGGTTCCAGCTTCTTAGCTTGGCTTCTTTTAAATTATTTGGACCGTCAGCTTTCTACTGATTTCTTTCATTGTATACATGTAGAATTTATAAACCATGAGAACCCCAAAACCTGCTGGTGGGTTTGAAAATCATGGTACCTTTAAAAAATTACACTATTTATCGGAGCCATTGACTGTAGAAACAGAAAGAATGATCAAATTTTCCAGCAGTATTTAATCTACTCATCTGTGATGATCTGTTCCAACAGGAAAATGAACCCAAGCTAAATTTTAAATTGTAATTCATCAAAATTGCTTGATTTTACATGGTTTAAAACTCACCAAAAATGAACCCCAGATTCTGTAAACACTAAAAATTCTGCATTCTTCAGTGCAGCTGATCAGCCATGAGTGACTCAGCTGTGACCTACAGTCATGTAACAAGAAATTCAGGGTCTTTTTTGGCTTTGAACTGCAGGAAGTGTTTACGCTGAGTAGGTATGGACAAGTATGGAAACAAATTAAAAAAGTAAGTTGCAAAACACCTATGATATGTAGAGTCACTTTTCCAGAATTGGAAACACCTATGGACTCTTGGGGGAAAAAATGTACATATTGATTCCAAAGTATTTCAGTTTTTGTAAAGTAAATAATCAAAGAAATTAAACTGTAGTTTTTTCCTTTTTTCTGATTTATAACATTATAACTGTGTCATACTGCACAGAAGATATTTATGAGTTCTCCATGCTTCTAGCCTTATTTCCATAGTGGTGCAGGACTTTATATTGCAGTGAATTATAATCCCACAGTGGGAACGAAATGTTACAGGAGTGAGCAAACAATCAGAAACTGCTTGGAGTTCAGATGACAAAATGAAAATAGCCTTTAGTTGCAGCCCTGAAATCTGTGAAACAGTATCATGACCCTATTATTTTCCAATGTGTGCAGTTCTTTAACTTGTGTGATGCGATGGCCCTGGTGCTCCCTCAGGAGAGGAGAGAAGGTAACAAGCGAGACATTAAGAGACAGTGAACTGTAAAGCATTTGGCAGCTGACAGACAACTCGGTTTGCTCTCGTGGATGCTGTAGTGCAGTGGGCAGAGTGATTAGTGTCACTCGCCACAGAGGTGGTGGCTGGGATTCATGCGCATGAACACACACCGAGTTTTATTCATACTTGTGCACACAGACGGTCTAATGTTACAGTAATTTACCGCGTGCAGGCATAATGGATGTGTAGCTGATACTGTATCACACACACCCATCATGAATTACAAGAGTCCTCGCTTTTTATTCATCTCTTTGTGTATTCGTAAGTGTGTGAGGCCTATAATCTTCTTATTGCATTATTTCTCGTCACCCTCACACCTTCTTTGTGTATCTTGCACACTTGACAAGATTTTCTCATTTCTCTTACTTTGCCCTCCTGTTATACATTTCTTGTAATGGTTATGTAGTATTTTTGAAACAGAGTGACTTGAAAACTTCTGTATCCACCACATAAGTAATTTCTTATAAAACAAACAAACAAAAAAAACCCTTTCCCACATCTTCCTGCAGGGCTCAGGTGGTGAAGAACAGGGTTCTTGATGAAATATCTGGATGCAGTATCTTACAGTAAAAGGAAAGTGGAAGTACTTCAGTGCAGAAACCTGGAGGGTAGTTACCCCCATCCTTCTTCCTGCAGGCCAACACACAGACACACAACTGTGCACATCTCTGTGTATCACTATATATGAACAGGGATACACACAGTTGACATGAGTGCAGTAAGGCGGAACAGGTCCGTATCTCCGGCCTTTTATCTGTGTCACTCTCGTTCAGGTCAGCTGTTGCCACAGGAAGCCTTTGTTTTGCTGCTGTCTGCACGTTTGGGTGTGTATGTGCATAATTAATTGGTCACTAAGTGGCCATATCTTTATCCACCCTGCAATAGAGCTTTAAAGAGAGCAATCTTAAGTATCTTATTTCAGTTTCTTAACCCTCTGAACTTCAAACAGCTTCTGGGTGTTTTTTTGGCTCCTGTCACATTTTTAGTTACGGTGGACTTGTTTTTTTACTGCAGTATGAAGTCTTGCACCTCTACGGAAACAGCACAACCATGACTGGAACTCAAAAATACCTTTTGAAAAATTGCTGCAACAAATTGTTTTAAATAACTTGTATGAGCAACTTAAGAACAACCAGGTGAGTGGTTGTTGCATGAAGCCTATGGTCTTTTATAGATTTATGTTACAATATATTTAAATATATAAAATCTGAATATAAAACGCTTTAGCTATGAAGCCAAAGACAATTCTCTACACTGTGGCCAGCAGGGAGGCGATGCTCGTTGGGTTATGAATACACAGAGGTTGCAGTGAAAGCTATGAATCTGAGAGGACACAGATTCAACAAGCCCAAGGAGGCAGATTTAATCATTCCTGCAAAGGTTTAAAAACAATATTCTCTTTCAACGTTATCTCTAAATTATTGATATTACTGAATACATTAAAGTAAATCAAAACCATTGTGCCTTTTCCTGGAACGCTCCGACTATAATGTCTGCCTTTGTGACAGGACCCATTATTGTGCAAGAAAAAAAAAAAGACTTGCTATTTACAGAGGCTCCTGGGTTCTTCTGTGACGCTTAAACAATACACAGTGGTTGCTAAGTTGCTAAAGGAAAGTTTGCCAAGAAGACGCAAGGCAGTGTTGAATGAAGCAGGGCTGATCAATAACATGATGTCAAATGCTGGATGGAAATATGTTCAATTCCTGAAATTTTTAGATATTTCAGCATGTATCACAGAAATCACATGTCTCCTGAGCTGTGATATTGTGTTAAAAATCACCTGACCCCCGTTAAGCATGTCAGCCTGAGCTGTTTGTGTTAACAGGTAGCAGTACAACACACGCATGATGCAGCTGCAGACATGGACACTTCTCTGTACAACACGTCCCTGGAGGTGCAGGAGCTGCTGCAGCCCAGTTTAAATTAGAGGAAAATGGGCATATAAATGAGCGGGCTCCCACGTCTCTGTAATTGATTCAGTTCTTCACACGGCCTCACATTGTCTTTAATCTACATTATTGAGCTCAGCAGCGGCTCCTCCACAATGACTTCCTGAGGTGTGACTGTTAAGGAGCAGTTAAGAAAGTAGCTTTTACATGAAAAAGCTTTACTTTACTGAAAAAAAAAGTCTTCTGAAGAAGCAGAGTCATCAGTAATTTGTACCTCGATCAACTTCTCAATAGTCAGGCCTGTGCCTTATTTCAAATTATTATTTATTTGAGTGACTGATTTGAAGTGCGATATGAGAAACTGTCATATTATATTTGAATACTTAAATATAATAACCCATCTGGCTATAATTGTAGGTCTCTATATACATAATGGTACATTTGAATTACATTTCTCTAAAAGGCTGACGAGATGAACGATCTGGACCTCAGTGTGTTTAACGTTTTCTTTTAGAGCTTGACAACTACTGATCAGATTACAGTGAAATTTAATGTGAATATTTGGGGCCTCCAGAGGACTTCTGATAGTGATTTTGACAACTAGTGTTTTCTCTTGTGCAACAATCGCTTTAGTCTTTCTTTTGACCCGCTCCTGCCGAGGTATCTCAAAAACAAAAGGCCTGATTTCTATTAAGTTTACTGTGGATGTCCTGAGGTGGAATCCTTGTGTTTTCAATGACCCCTGGACGTTTGTTTTCACACCAGCCTCAGGACTAAATGTCAGATTTGCACGCAAATTTAAGCACTGTATCTCATAATCTACTCGTGAGGTTTTCTGAGCACATTTCTGCTCTCATTGATACAATCATTTCTGATTTTATTAACCTCCTCAGCTCCACTTCTGCTTTGACACCAAGGATACCTAAATCATCAGCATATTGTTTGATTCATCTAACACTTGTATTCTGTACGGCGTACTGGTCCTTTAGAGGCAGCTGACACCATTGTAGACTTTCTTGGCTGTTTTTCTTGGCGTTCATTTTGTAGGGGAGCACTGAGCTGGTGATCTTATATTGTTTTTTGTGTCCAGGTATCCAGCAAACCATCGAGCAAGAGGAGGGGCAGAACAGGTCATCAGCTGACCTAAGGATACGTAAAACACAGGTACAGTCGAGGAGACAAGTGGATACTGCATATTAACTGTGTTCGTACAGTGTAGGTAATGAAAAATAACATCACATGAAAATATTAGTCATTTTTCATTATTAAAATGCATTTTCTAGCCATAGTTTTATATTAGTGCATGTGTATTCTGTGCTTTTTATTTACTGAAGGATATTTACATGTGTAAATGATGAAAACTGTATTTTGACAAATGACCAATGCTTATATATTATACACTGATGAAAACACGTTGATCCAACTTTTTTATTTTTGTGGAAACGTCTGTAATTTTGCGAGGTAGCTCTCATTTAACAAACAAATTTATGTAAACTAGCATGGATTTGTTTTGTACAATAAAAGTGTTTCCAGTATTTGACTTGAAATTAGAAGTTTTATTTATTAAATAAAAAGGAAATATCTGTGAAATTATGATACATTATGAGTAATGTATTTTTGTCTTTTTTGGGGAAAAAAAATTCTTTAAAAATAGAAATGCAATAGTTATTGACAGTTACATCGTTTTAGTGTCAGTCTGTTTTTGTAATTCTACTAAAATGTCAGTTTATTTCAAAAATATGGTAAAAAATCTGTAAAAATTAAGAGGTCTCCCCTCCCCTGAAAAAAAGTTTACTACAGTTTGTATTGCACTAAACGTGTGTTTTGGAAAATCATATGAAAAATAATCAACTGACTTTAAAAAAAAAAATTAAATTAAAAATAATGTTTACAAAACAAATCTTTCTGGAGCCACCTCACCACTACCTGCAATTTGTGTTTTTATTTTTGCATCTGTGAGAAGCTCCTCAGCTCCAAGTTTTCAGAATGTATATTAACCGCTTTGAGTACACCCAATTTAGTCATTTTCCAATATAAACACACTGAATTTGCTTGAAGTTAGTGTGTAATATGCAATTGGAACACAGCTACACTTATGTATTTGTGCCTTCCCACCTCCTGTTCATTTGGCGTTAAATTAGCCACTTAGTTTAGTATCTACTGCTGGCATCATGCTGGCTTAAGCAAAGTGTTTAATTGTTTGTTGTCGTCTCTGCAGCACTCCACACTGTCCCGTAAGTTTGTCGAGGTGATGTCAGAGTACAACACCACTCAGTCGGACTACAGGGAGCGCTGCAAGGGACGCATTCAGAGACAGCTGGAGATCAGTGAGTAGACCTGAGAGACCAAACCGTCCTCCACCCTTCATACTGTCTGCACGCATGTCAGCACGGCATGGATCCCAAACATCGGCATCTGTCATGAGGCCCGCGACGCGCTTTTCTTTGCTCGGTTTTAAAGTTTCTAAATCGAATTTCCTGAGAGCATCTGCACAGATTCAGTAAGAACATGCTAAAAATAATTAATTTGTGGAAAAGGGAACACCATCAAACTTGAAGAACTCATTTTCATTGTTGATTTTGGTTAAATACTGGACAGTCTGAGACGCTTTTAGGGACAGAACTACATGTAATCTAGGCGAATGTGGAAGCGTGTACTGTAAATTGTTACTGTACTGTAAATCAGGTCAACTTTAGTCGTGGCTGACCAAAAATAATCACTCGTCCTACATTTCCTTGCGTGTCCATTATCCCCAGCACATGCATCATCCTCTTCATCGCCATCCTCCATGATTTTAGTCAGATGTTAGATTCATGTTAATTATGCTAAAAATACAGTCTGCAACCCCATTTTCTACCAATTTGTAATCATTCAAAGTTTTTTTTTTTTTTT